GCGCCTGGGGCGCCCCATCCTCCTTCTCCAGCCCCCAGCCCGGTGGGGGGCCCACTGGGGACGCGGATGCTCTCCCACGGCGCCCACGTGGCCTGGCCCAGGGCTGCAGATGCGGCTTACCCCAGGCGCCAGCGGCCCAGGTGGGGTTGTCATCCTGAGAGTTTCTGTCCTATCCCGAGCTGCGGGATTCGCCGGCCACCACAGCCAACAGCCATGCGCATGCTGCGCGCACTCTGGCTAGGGGGGCTTGCGGGGGCTCCTCGGGGGAAAGGGGGTGCCCCGCCTTCGGGCCACGTGCCAGGGGAGCAGTCTCACTGAGGCAGGAGGAGCCTACCTCGCGCTTACTCGCGCCATCACCTGCCAGGGCTGGGCCGTGGGCCTCTTCTGGCCACCCGCCCACCTGCGCACCTGACACCTGGGCTTGGGAGGGAGGCACCGGAGACCCTGCCCCCCGCACGTGGGCTGAATGTGGGCAAAGCCCCTGACCACCTGACCTGGTAAAAGGGCCTGCCCTGCCCCTGCAGATTAGCTGGGGCCGGTTTCCCCCAGGCCGCCATGCTCGCAGTCGCCCTTGCCCCAGGCTCGCATCCAGGCAGGGACCCCGGCCTCACGCAGCTGCCTCACCCGATCGACACAGCTGCGGAGCCCTGCTTCCCTGTGGTCCCTGCCTCAAGAGGTCACGGTCAGATCTCGCCCTCAAAACAAAGCTTCTGCAGCCTCTGTCCCCCGCAGCACCAGGGGTAGAGAGGGAAAAGGCAGGCAGGCCAAAAAAGGAAGCCAGCAGGCCATACTCGGCACACTGCAGATGCTCCTTTAAGGAAACACAAACAAGTAATTCCAAAAAAGAAAGGGAGCAAGCAAGGAAACAACATAAACTGTTATCTCAGTAATAGCAACTTTAGCAGATAAAAATAACAAAATAAAAATAGTCTGCTCTCACAGATGAAGAAGAACCAGTGAAAAAACACTGGCAATCTTCAAAGCCAAAAGATTCAACACAAAGGGTCCTCCCAGCCCCCAAGTAATGGAACCTATTCAAAATGACCTGTCCTTGATGACAGACATAAAATCATAGATTATGGACAGCAAAGAGACTCAGCGAGATCCAAGAGAAAGTATACACCCAAATCAAATAGGCCACAAGAGCAGTCAGTATAGGAAGTGAAGGCAAACTTGTCCATCCTAAGAAAGAACCAAACTGTACTCCTGGGAGTAAAGAATTCTTTTGTGGAGTTTCTAAACACAGTAGCATGCTTTAACAACAGAACTGACCAGGCAGACGAAAGAATGCTAGAACTCGAAGGCCGAATCACAGAATTAACCTACTTTGACAAAACATAAGAGGTAAAGAACTAGGAAAAACAGGCAAAGCCTACAAGAAGTCTGGGTTATATAATGATACCAAATAGACAGTTGATGGCATTCCTGAGAGAGAAGGGGAAATTGAGAACAACCTGAGACAAGCTTTCCAAGATATTATCCAAGAAACACTTCCTCTTTCTCTTCTTAATGAAGGGGGTTTAAAATCCTTCCCAGACAAGCAATCCCTAAGAAAATATGCCACCTCCAGACCAGTCCTTCAGAAATACTTAAGGAAGTTCCAAACATAAATTGAAAGACCAATACCACGCACCACAAAAGCATAAGTAAGCACAGAGACTGTAGGTGGTATAAACCAACCACAAAGCTGAGAATACAAAGTGGCTTCTTAACAACAATATGATACAAACAAACCCTCACTTATCAATAGTTAAATGTTAACAGACTGAACATGCCATTCAAAAGGCATAGAGTGATCCATTCTTCTGCTGTCTTCAGGAAACCTATCGCACTGCAAATGATACCCACTGGCTCAAGGTAAAAAGATGTTCCACAAAAACAGAAAACAAAAAAGAGGAGCGGTCAGTATTTGTATATCAGATAAAACTGACTTTAAACCACTAAAAGTTAAAAAGGACAGTGAAGAGTACTACATAATGATAAAGGGTTCAATTCACCAGCAAGAACTATCCTTCTTGAATGTGTATGCACCCAACATAGTAGCACCTGGGTTTATTAAACAATTGTTAATTAATCTAAGAGAGAACAGACAGCCATACAATAATAGTGGAGGACTTTAATACCACCATCAACAGCTATAGCCAGATCATTTAGGGAGAAAACCGATAAAGAAATGTGGGACTTAAACTTGACACTTGACTAGTAATAAGACTTAATAGATATTTACAGAACCCAACAACTGTAGAATATACATTTTTCTCATCTGTACACAGAACATATTCTAAGGTCAACCACATATATACTCGGCCATAAATCAAGCATGAGCAAAATTCAAATTATCAAAATCATACCAAGCATCTTCTCAGACCACCAGCAGAATAAAAATAAATATCACCACCAACAGGAACTCTTAAAAACACACAAATGCATGGAAATTAAACAACATGCTCCTGAATATTTTGGATTAACATAGAAATCAAGACAAAAATAAAAAGATTCCTAGAAACAGACAGAAATAAAGATACAACATACCAAAATCTCTGAGAGATCATGAAAGCAATGCGGAGAGGGAAGTTTGTAATACTGCACACACACATCAAGCAAAGAAAGAGATCTTAAGTAAGCACCTAAGATATGTCACCCCTAAGAAAACTGGAAAAACAAAAACAGTCAATTCCAAAGCTAGCAGAAGGAAAGAAATAATCAAAAGCAAAGATAAAGCTAAAAGAGAACAAAATTTTTTAAAAAAAGAAAGAAAAGGATCAACGAGTCAAAAAGCTGGTTCTTTGAAAGAACAAGTAAGATTGGCAGACCCCTGGTCAGATTAACAAACACAGAGAGAGAGAAATTTTTAATAAACACAGAAATGAAAGAGAGTAAAATAAGAAATAATAAAAGATTATCAGAGGTTATTACAAACACCTGTATTCATGTAAGCTAGAAAATCTAGAAGAAATGGGTAAATTCCTGGAAATATACAACCTCCCAAGATTGAAACAGGAAGAAATTGAAACCCTACTCTGACCACAACAAGCATAGAAATTGGTTCCGTAATAAGACACCTTCTTGCCAGAAAATGCCCTGAGCTACATGGTTTCTTTGCTGAATTCTACCAGCCATACAAGAAAGAACTGATACCAATCCTATTAAAAGTATTCCAAGCCATTGAGAAGAAAGGAATTCTCCCTAGCTCATTTTATGAAGTTAATATCATCCTGATACCCCAAAATGGCAAAGACTCAAAGAAAAAAAGGAAAATAAGGTCAATATCCCTGATGAACATAAATGCAAAAATTCCCAACAAGATACCAACAAATCACATTCAGTAGCACATTACCAGGATCATTCATCATGAACAGATGAGCTTTATTCCTGGGATGCAAAGCTGGTTTAATGTACGCATATCGCTAAATGTAATACACTACATAAACAGATTTAAAATCAAGGACCATATGGTTATCTCAATAAACACAAAAAGGCACTTCATGAAATCCAGCATGCCTTTTGGATAAAAACCCTCAAACGCCTAGCATCAAGGAACATTCTTCAAAATAACAAAATCCATCTATCACGCAACTGCACCCAACATCGTACTTAATGGGCAGAAGCTGGCAGCATTCTCCCTGAGAAGTGAAACAAGGCAGGAATGTCCATTCTCACCATCCCTATTTAACATAGTACTGGAAGTCCTAGCCCGAGCAATGAAGCAGAAGAAAGAAATTATGGGTATCCAAACAGAAAAGAGGAAGTTAAATTATCTCTCTTTGCAGATGATATTATTCTATAGCTGGAAAGCCCTATGTGTCCCACAAAAAAACTCCTAGCACTGATAAACAACTTTGGCAAAGTCTTGGGATACAAAATCCATGTGCAAGAATCAGTTGCATGTCTATACATCAACAGCAAGCGAGCTGAGACCCAAATAAAAAACACAATCCCATTCACAATAGCCACACACAAAAATAAAGTTTCTCAGTATTCATCTAACCAAAGAGGTGAACGATCTTCATCATAAGAATTACAAATTACTGCTCAAAGAAATAAAAGATGACACCAAAAAATGGAAGTATATCTCATGTTCGTGAATTAGAAGAATCGATATTGTCAAGATGTCTACCACCCAAGGCAATCTACAGATTCAATATAACACTGCACAAAAGGGCCTAGCTATCTCAAGAAGACAAGTAAAAGCAATTAAACATATAAGGATTATGAAGGAAAAAGTCCAAATCATCAGTTTTCCCAGATATTATAATTTCCAGGTAAAACAAAATTATCATAATTTTCATATTCATAATACATTCAATTATATTAATAATATTTTTCTCTCTGAAATGAATAGAAAATCATTAAACAACATTATAATTAACTTTGACCCAAATATCACTTTTTAGATGATTATTTGGGAGCTCTTAAAAATTAGTCAATATTAGTAAAACCATATACAAAATGTTAACAGTGAGACATTGAAGAATATCCAGAGGTTTATCTTTCTAACGTTAATATATGCAGAATAAAGGCAGGGAAACCTCTCCCTAAATTTCTCATGTTTCTCAGTAAAAATATTTATGTCAGTCACACAACACACAAGACCAAATGGTAATTTATGTTGGTGATTTGTGAGATGAGATTTCACTCAATATCAAAAGTGAAATATACAGGCACTCTACCATGTTAAGAACTTATATCACCATTTTTCCAAGGCAATAGCACATTAAGAGCCTGAAAATAAATCTCAGGAGATAGCTAACTTGTACAATTTCAACATAAGTAAATTAAGAATGAACATCTCACTAAAGGATATTTAAAGTCACACAAGACTAGTGAACATGCCAGTTTCCCAATACTGAGATATATCACTTGGATTAATAGGCTAAAAACACCTCATTATCAATCATAGACACTGACATTCTGTGTATAATTCTGGGTAATACTAAATAATTAAGACTTGTGTTCACCACTAAGTTCCATGAAATGCTCTGCCCCAAGATGATGTTTTGTTGCACTTGGAATAAACGGTGGTTCTAATCATCCTACTTGCTGAGAGTAAAAATATACTTTTGTTATTTATGAAAGTACAAGTAAGACAGAGAATATATAAACATGCCATATTGTGTATATGTACACCCAAATACAAGCACATACAAGACCTCATCTCTAATACTTTCATCTATTTATTTACTTTTAATATTTATATATCACTTTTGAAAACAGTCTGTCAGTTATTTTAAAGATTAAACATATGCCTGTTGTATGATCCAGCCATTCCACTACTGGGTAAAGACATAAAATGTCCAACTGTTCGTAGAAGCTTAATTTTAGGAGTCCCAAGCTGGAAACATTCTAAATGTCCTTCACTGAGTGAATGAATAAACACACTGTGATATAGTCACACAATAAAATACTACTTAGTAATAAAAAGGAAAAATCTCCTGATATATTTCCTATAAGTGAATCTTATAATAATTATGCTGAGTAAGAAAGAAGCCATACAGAAGAGAGTACTTAACTATTATCTTCTTACATAAAATTCTAGAAAAGGCAAACCAACATTGATAAAAAGTAAGTCAGAGGTTGCCTGTGTGGAACAGGGGAGAGGAGACTGGAGGGAAAGCCAAAAGAAAACTTTGGAGGGTGATGGGAATGTTCACTTTCTGAATATGACAGGCTCACAAGTATGCACACGTCCAGCCTCATCAAAATATACCCTCTAAATATGCACTGCTTTTTAGATGTCGGTTCAGCTCAATGAAGCTGGAAAAAGTGAAAGAAAATGATTAAGACAATGTTACACAGTTCACAGAATTACTGGGAACGTTCAAAAGTGGGCTTACCACCAGTTAAAACACTGATCATTCTGGTGGGCAAAAAGTAAAGAAAACCTGATACACACTGCTACTGACCACAGAGGCTCTGGCTTTTCTGTCGCCACTGGCCTTGGCTCCAGACGATGCCCGGGAATGAGAACTTGCTCATTAGTGTTAGAGGGCACACATCTGCGTGGTTCCCAGAAGTTTCCTCTTGGCACTTTGTCATCCCTCCCTCTTACCTCCCATCGCCTATCACCAGGTTACCACTGATTTCCTTTTTTGAAGCACAGAGTCCTTTGTTGCTGCCTTCCAAGAGAGCATGGAGACCACCTCTTTAATTCACGAGTTCCCTGTTCACAAGCTAGGGCTGGTGCCTGGCAGGCCTGTTCTCTTAACTGGGACAGGAACTCAGAAAGTGAGCATTTGCCATTTTCAAAACACCTTGACATGCCACCTTCCACAAGACTTTTTTGGAGGAAGGTTCTAAAAGCTGTGAATATTTAGCTAGGTGAAAAGGCCAAGAACACACATTTTAAAACTTTTAAAAGTTTTACTACGAATATTTTCAGAGTTACCCAAAGACACCCATCATCTTGATTCAACAACTGTCAACATTTTCCTGCACTTGCTTCGTTCATCCTCATTTTCTTTTGTTAATTTCTTTTCCTTAAGTGTTTTAGAACAAATCCCAGACGCCATATTATTTAACTCCTTACAAATTTAGTATGTTTCTCTAAAGAAAATGGACATAACCACAATGCTATTTCACTCAATAAACAATAAAAACGATTGGTATCATGTAATAATAACCAGTCCATATTCAGATTTCCCTGATGATCTCAACATTTGTTTTCTTGGATGATTTGAACCAGAATCCACAGAAAGGCCTTGTAGTTGTTAGGGATTAAGTCCTTTTTAATGCAGAGCAGTCCCTTGGCTTTCCCTTTTACCTGGCATTAGCCTGCTGATTAAACTGAGTTTCTCATCTTACAAAATACCCTGCATCCTGGATCCAGTGGAGTCATTTAGCTTGTTCTTTCACCCCTGTGTTTCCTGCCACTGAGGACTTAGTTCTAAAGCTTGATTACCTTCAGGTTCGCTTTTTTTTTTTTTTGAGAGAGAGAATCCTTTTGGAAAGTGCACCACTTTATAGTGCATCCTACCAGGAGGCACATAGTATCTAAGCGCCTCCTCTCTGTAACACAAAGAATGCTTACTTACTCTCCTGCATATTTCCCCATCAACCTTCCATCTAATGAGTTCAATCACTGATACTATTATGTGAATCAATTATTTTAGTAGGGTTTGTGAAATAATGATTTTTCAAATTCCATCATTCTTTCCATATGTATTACCTATAAGTATTCAATAAAGAAGAGCTTTTTTCCATAATCATAAAATATAATTCATAAAGAAAAGGTAAGATAAGCACTTGATTCTTTTTCAATTGTACTTTCAGAGAGACACTTATTATCTTACTAAATAATAACCTAATAAAAGTCTATAATATTAGTATATTTATTATTTCCACATATTCAAAAAGAATAAATATAAAATCATTGTGTATATTACAAAATTATGTAGACTGATAATATCCTTCTTTTTGTCTTAACTGGTCTTATCACTCAAAATGTAAAAAAAGTATTCAAACTCAGATTTGCCTACAATTAGAAGTCAGAAATTATACACTATGTAGAAAAATACAAATAGATTATTTCTTTTTGCTGATGGTGCTATTGACAAAGTTGTAGCTAATAAATATGCTCTTGCAATATGGGTTAATATATTCAAATAGAAGGATATCTGAGAGAAAAGAGTACTTTAAGCTTCCTGATTTCAAAAAACGAGTTTCCCAGGAACTTGTGACTTCTCTAATAACTGATGAGAAGCCATTTGAGTCAGGATGACCACAGCAGCTGGGCACATAAAAGCCACTCAGTGCAACGTTGCTAACATGATTACACTAGCAATTAATCCTCAAGTCTTTGGCAACAGGAAAACCATCATTACATTTTAAGAGTATGTATAACGCATCTAAAATGTTTGCTATTGAGCCTATGGAAACATAATAAAGTTCGAGAACTTCAAAGCATGTTTCAAAAAAATCAGTCAATATGTAAATAGCAGTTCAAGAAAAATATATAGCTCTTATAGAAAAAAATATATAAAACTCTTACAGAATGAAAACGAATCAAAAATCTGACTAATGACGCTAGCCTCCAAAATCCACTGCTTTTGCGCACCAGAATTAGCTTGCTGCGGCTGCCTCCTCACTTGTCTCTTGGCCTTAAGTCTCACTCCCTTGCTGCCTGTTCTCCACGGGCCGCATAGTGCAGGGTGATCTAGCTATTTCTACGGCTCACAAGGCTCATTACCTAGTCCAGCTCCACCCTGCTACCTCCCAGCCATATGGACCACTCTCCCCCTCCCTCACTGTCTTCAGCCACATCTGCCTCACTGCTGTCCTTCCAATGGAAACAGTGGGAGTGGCCCATAAATCTATGGAAAGAAGTCCAGTCTCATTAGTAATAACAAATATGAATTAAGATCACAGTGGAATGCCATTTTATAACCCCCCAGATAGTCAAAAATAAAATCACCCCAAAATACTAAGTGCTAATAGGATTAAAAGAATGTGGATACTACATACTGCTGGTATGAGAGGACATTATTAGTACAACCACTAAAAACCATTTAACATCCCATTTATATTCCTGAGCACATATGCACCGGAAGACATAGTCACAAATGTTCACAGCAGCACTGTTTCAATAGCCAAAAAACACGGAAGTAACCGAACTGCTCATCAACAGGGAAATGAATAAACAAACTGTCATATTTATATAAATAAATATTACAAATGAAATTATAGACAAACCAACCACACGAATGAATCTTGGAAAAACAAAGTTGGAGGAAAAAGCACATCCTAGAACACCCCATGCAATATGCTGTTTTATAACGTTCAAAATATAA